ACCTACCGCGGGTCTGCCGCGAGTCTAGCGCCACCCTGCAGAAAGTGCGGTTTACCCTGCGTGCCGCCTCATGACGAAGAGGACAACTAAACCCCATGATAACATTCAAGGTCTGTTTATATGATCTTCCTTCAAAGGTATTTTGACCATCGCTCAGATGTTGTTGGAATGCGCGGCCTTGTATGGAATATATGGGGTTTTGCCGCCTGCATGGCCATACAGCATCGCAAGGTTAGAATCCGGGTCAAATCACAAATCTACTGGACTCCATCAAACTGCTGCCCCGACGCCGACTAGGATCCGAACCCACATAAACCCCGAGTAAGGAAACCCATATATGGGGTTTAGGGTTTAGGGTTTAGGGTTTAGGGTTTGGGGTTTAGGGTTTAGGATATGGGCGATAATGGAAAAACCGTAACTACTACATTCTAGGGATTATATAGGAAATATATCGGGAATGTTGAAGAAGCCTCTATGCTTGAAGCAGAGGACTCTAGAATGGACTAGGTACCTGTCGCAAGAAAGACCCTTCGAACTAGAGCCACACAGTTTTGCCGAGATGAACCATGCTCCAAACTCCTAGTATCCCCCTTAATAACTCCTATAATGGTGCCCTATATAATCCCCTATATACCCCCCTTTAAGGAGTTTAGACCCTAAACCCTAAACCCTATATAATCCCCTATATACCCCCCCTTTAAGGGAGTTTAGACTATAGCTCAGATGTACCGATGACCTGACAACGATGGTCTTAGTGCCAGGCTGCAGGATGAAGAATTTGTGACTTCCTGCCAGGCCACGACAGGTTAGGGTTTAGGGGTTAAGGTTTAGGGTTTAGGTTTTAGGGCCAGGCCACAAATGGTACTTCCCCAAAAAACTTGTATTGGGGTTATATAGGGTTATGATAATAGGGGCTCATACGAGGTTATATGAGCCATAGTCTAAACTCCTAGTATCCCCCTGAATATCCCCTATAGTAGCCCCCTATATAACCCCCTTGAAGGGGTTTAGACTATAGTACATATGGGGGTTATATGGTACTTTCCTAAAATAGGGGATCCCAATTTTAGACCTCAAAATACTATAATCCTTTTTATAGGGACCCCCAAAATGGTACCTTTAATCTTGGGAAACCCCCACTTCTGTTCAGGGAGGTATGAGGATTTAGTGCCTAGTGGGATTAAAGAGCAAGTTATGCTGCTCCGGGGTCCTGCATCGCAGTGTCCGCGTCATCCCTGCTCTTCAAGGATTCGCTTTCGCAGTCTGTGTCCCTCTCCCACGCCTCAGCCCACAGGGTCTCTCTATCATTCTCCATCTTCGGAGGAACCCCCCACCCTGTAGAATAGTGGTGTAATAGGGAAATAAGAGGACACGAAAAAAAAGTCCGTATTATCCCTCGTAGCCACTATTACTGGCTGGGGGGCCCACCTAATCTCCCTATCCTTCTCTATCTCGGAATCTCTCTCCTCTCAGCATCCGTAGCTTCAAGGCTCTCCAAGACCCGTGCCCCGCCCACGGGCCGGGGAAAGCCACACCAACCTGGCTAACTTCTGGGAACAAAGTACTAATACTCTAGGAGGACCCCCCATCCCGTAATAGTGGTATAAGAGGAACAAGAGGACCCTAATATAATCCCTATTATAGTCACTATAACTGGGTGGGGGGTCCACCTAACTAATACTAGTAGTAATGATAGTAATAGTTATTCATAAAAGTAATAATCATGGTCCTCAATAATAGCACTTACAGTTGTCCTACTAATAATAGTGGTAGTAGCCATGGTACCAAGAATAATAATACTACTAACAAGAATAATATGCGGGAACTTCAACATGCTGCGCAAAGTTCAGCAAGCTTGCCGATTTCCATGTCCAGCGTGCCCAGGTATGGCTCCCAAACCTCAACTCTTACGAATCTAGATAATACATGGGGGTTATAGGGGATAATGGAAAAGAACATGCAAACTACTATTCTATCTTTATTACATAGGGGTTATATCGAGGATGATGGAAAAGAAAAATGCAAACTTATAGGGGATAATGGAAAAGAACATGGAAACTACTATTACCGGCTGGTATGATGTCAAGTCTGGATGAACGTTACCGACCCAAGGCCTGCAACCTCGCCAAGCACTAGGACTCGACTACTTGAAAGCAATATAATCCTATTATATCCCTTTAAAGGGACCTTCCATTATTCCTATATAACCTATATAATCCTCTGACCATCCTCTTTTTACAAGAAACTTCACAGCAAGCGCAGGAGCCAAAGTTGAACAACTTGGGTTGCGACAGTCAAACGTGAGTCATCCTGACGTTTCCAATAGCGACATGCTGATGCAGCAATAGAACAGCAAAATTGATTGCGGAGATTGCAGACATGAGCTGACTTCACATTACCCACCATCCTATATACCCCATTATATAGTAGTTTCCATTTTCTTTTCCATTATCCCAATGTAACCCCCATATTCTTCTTGGCCAAAGGAATGAATCCCCAGTGTCCATGCCATGGTCCATCTTCTTGTCAGTTTGATTCTCCCTTTGGATCCAATTCCACGGCCAAGCTGTCCTTCACGGGCACTGGTGCAATGATGGCTCTGGTCCATGCCTCAGGTGACCATGCTTCCTCTCGTGTTCAGCTTTACAAATCCACTTGCTGATTGTCTGCTGAGGACTGCACGCTTTCTGGCTGTTCATCCTTCCAGGGCCAGGAAGAACTTCCGTAAGTGTAATACTGGAGACACCATCCAAAACTATTGCCACAACACTTCATCATACTGTCCATGAGGCAGAAGGGGTCAAAGGCAGGCTCTGACTGCATGGCCTGGCAGAAGCTGCGTTCATCTCCAAAAAGGCTTAGCCGCGCATGCCTCGCCCTCCGTGCGCCACTTCACTGGGCCCCCACCAGCCTCCTTGTCACATGAGCTGTAGTCTAAACTAAAATCCAAAAAAGGGGGTCAGAAAAGGGGAGTATTATAGGGAGTATGCAGGGGGATACTAGTGTTGGTTGCGTGGCAGAAGATACGCATGGCCCCTGCGAGGGATGACATGCACAAGACGCAGTACAGAACCATAAACTATGCCAACGATGGTGTTAGCTCAAGTGAGAAGCAGTGATGACAAAAGGGATGTGTTTCGGGATGGGTTTCACGAAGGGATGAGCCTGGAGGCCAGACATGTCTAGGTATGACAGTCTTGATGACCTACCATGGTCAATTCGTCAAGCAAGGATTCGAGCACTCGAAGCATCCCCCAACCTGAGCAATTTCTCGTCGGTAAGTAACTCTCCGGATGTATCAACACATCACCATCAACTAGGAGTTTAATCTATAGCTAAAGTGCGGCACGCCGCAAAGACCTGCCCTGTCCTGGGGCCGCTCCCATACCACAGGGAAGGCTTCGACAGGCACAGAATACAGCACGCTGAACCTGAACTACCCACGATCCCTCCACCCTCTCCAAAAAAAAAGCCAAACCAAGGCATCAGCATGTTGGCCCACTGTGCACGTCGTAGGCCTTTTAGAGCTCGAAGGGTCAGGTTAATTGAGTGCCAGCACCTGGAAGCGAAGCCGGATCCAGGCGTACTTTGAATGGGTTTGAGAAACCGAGGTGGCAACACACCAATCCCAAGAACCACAATCCGCAACACGACTGGCCTGCAGACTGGATAGGGTGCCCAATTGCCATAGACATCGACGCACATCGCAATCACTCCCTACTCAGCAACACCTTCCAACCTATGCTTGCGAACCCTCGGAAATACAAAAACAGCATGCAAGCAGCTAGCTTAATTACTCGTACCGCGACTGCTCAATATCCATATGGTAGTGTCCATTTCATTTTCCATTTTTGATTTTCCATTCGATTCTCCATTATCCCTAGATAACCTATATTACCAATATATACCCTATTATACTATAGCAGTTTTGATGTTCTTTTCCATTATCCCTATATAATCCCAATATGATACCCCTATATAATCCCAATGATCCCTATATATCCCATTATAGTAGTTTCCATTTTTTATTTTCCATTCTCCCAAAATAACCCGATATGACCCCACATTGCTCAAAGAGATCACGACTGCGAGCCTGCTCAGTGGAAACTCACAAAGGCACAGGCAGCTGGTCGATGCACCAGGCTCCGACACCCCCCACAGCACTGCATACCTTGGCAACTGGCTTGCTCTGCTTTTATACACCCTATTATATTATAATATAATCTATATAATATAATATGAATATCTGATAATATTATAATATAATAATAGTTTCCATTTTCGTTTCCATTATCCCTATATAACCCCTAGTAGTTTCGAGTTTCCTTTCCATTGTCCCTATATAACCTCTAGTAGTTTCCATTTTTCTTTTCCATCATCCCTATATTACCCTTTGTAGTTTCCATTTTCTTTTCCATCATCCCCTTATATGAAATACTCTCGCTTTTAAGCCTTGCTGATAGATGTGGTAGTTTCCCTAAATAAGGTGGCCCCAATATAGACCCAAAAATACTATAGTCTGTATTAATAATGGGGACCCGCAAAAAGGCACCCCTAAATTTTGGAAAACCTCCATGTAAGAATTCACAAAACCTGCAAGAGGCCTGTGACATCCTATTATGAGCCCCTAAGTTCGGCATGTGGCGATCCACCCGAGCACCATATGTCGCAAGAGCATGTGCAAGCCAGGTAAGCAGAGGTACATGCAAAGACAATCTTAGGGCTCTCCCAAAATTAGGGGTACTTTTCGGGGGGTCCCAATAATAAGGATTATAGCATTTTGGGATCTATACAGGGGTCCCTCTAGTGACGGAAACTATCTTAATCTCCACTAACGACCCGACCTTTCAGGAGAGATTGCTTCTACACACATCTTCCAATGACAACAGAACCCCTGGGTCGGAAGCCTACGAGATAGTTCAGGGCTTTAGTGTCTTGAACTGCTTCGCAGCAGAAACGGTGAGTAGCAAGCACAATTAAGCCTGGAGTCTTCCTGCCCACCGAAGCCCGTGGCAGCTTCCCTAAATAGGGGGACACCAATACAGACCTCAAAAAAGCTGTGATCCTTATGATGGGGACACCTAAAATGGTACTCCTTGTTTTTCAGAAACCCCAAAGTAACAAACCCAGGGCAAACATCTGCAGAAGAGGCTGCGCATGGGTATCCACCAGTGAGGTGAAGACCACGAAGACCACAGCCCACATTGCGCAAAGGATGGATGAAAGAAAAACCTCAGCTTCAGCTCCTGCAAGGGCAGCGATCTACTATACTGTTGTCATCTGCTGCTACCACTGATCATTACTATTTACTATTAAGTAGGACTACTGTCACTATTACTGTCACTATCTACTGTTGCTACGCGGGCTTCTCTTCTCACGCTCGGGACGCGGCCATTATCCGAGACATTTTCACCGGGGCATATACACCTTGGTGCAGGTCCCACGGTTAGGCCTAGGAGGCTGCTTGAAAAAAACATTCTGAGCATCACACAGACCAGTAACGAAAAAGGGTACATTACCTGCTACATCTGGCAAGCACTTCCAACAAGTTCCTACTGATTTGCATGCACGACTTGCAACACGGAACAAGCTTGACAGTCGCACCACCATGAAGGCAACCGCTTGGAACAGCGACCAAAGCATGACCTCCATGTTCTGAAGCTAGGCTCATGTCAAGCTATGGCAGACGTGTAAGGCGACAAAAGCTTGGAGTGCCACCAACAAAGCCAAAACACAACGATTCTGTGACCAAATGCGTCGTGTCTGGCGGCGCCCACGAACACCTTCTCAATCCACCCGCAGTTGCAAGAAAGCGTGCAAACAGCACCTATAGTTCTCATACATTCTGCTATGCCCATGCTTCACCGAGCCGCAGGCATGTTAGGCAGTCCCAAAGACATGGAGTGGCATACTTCATATTTGGAATTGACCTGATGTCACGAGGCACCCGCCAATCCTAGCCTACCTCTGTGAACAAGAGCATCACATCTGACAACCAAATCAGAGCTAGGATTGACACAAGATGAATGGTCTCTGATCCTCTTCTAGCAAAGCCAGGTCCTGCAAAGAGGTCCGCAAAATCTTTCCGCAAGCTGGGACCAGGGCTTCTTCTTCACGCTTCTCAGGCTTCACATGAGCCGTAATCCAAACTCCTACAGTAACATCCCCCTGAATAACCCCTATAATAGTCCCCATATAATCTCCTATATAGCCCGCCTTTACAGACAGAGCCTAGACTACAGCTGACATGTGGCTTCTCCCCCTGGAGTCATGAATCCCTTTTTGAACCAGGACTCTCTGATGTGCCCGGTACAGACCCCGCAGTCATGAATCCCTAAACCCTAAACCCTAAATCCTAAACCCCAAACCCTAAATCCCAAACCCTAAACCCTAAACCAGCTGACATGTGCTTTCTCCCCCTGGAGTCATGAATGAGAATGGCCAGGCTTAGCAGCGACGTGAGGATGAGGAACAGGATGCTCCAAAGTCTGAAGGGGTGCACACCTCCAGTTTCGGCATATGAGCTGTAGTCCAAACTCCTTAAGGGGGATTATATAGGGGATCATATAATGGAGAAATTAGAGGTATTCAGGGGGATACTAGGAGTTTAGACTGTAGCTCATATGAAGTCGGCAGAACCATGCAAACCGCAAAGCGCAAGCACATGACGATTGAAGAGGCACATTGCGCATTCTGAGCAACACTCCGACACTCAGGGCGAAGCCCACATTAACTGTGTGAAGACTTCCCAGATCCCCGGACATGGCCCGTAGAGGAAGCCAGGGGTTGTGGCCTTGGAGCGGGCACCACTGAATTTAGGAAGCCAAGCAGTTTTCTCTTGTTCCTGAGGTCTCAGCAGGTCTGACCTGTGCAGTGGATTGTCAACACATGTAAACACTCACACTAACAGCCCGCTGCTGGCTGCTGGTGCTTCATGCGAACTGGAACTTGTGGGTAGGCTCAGGCCTTTCACTGAGTCCGGTAGGTGTGGGCATGGTGTCGTCAGGTTCAGACCTGGCCCGCACTCTAGTGGAACACTGCTTGACAATTGACACGGCGACCGTCTTGTCATGATACTAGCCATCAAGGTCCATCCGGCCAGCACGGCAACGATGGATCCACTTTTGGCTTTCGTATTCAGAGCGTAACTTTGGCTTATGCCCAAGTGACCATGTCCACGGATAGCAAAGCTATGTCTCTTGACGCTGCAACCACCAAGCTGATTTACCAGCACAAGCTCGATTGAGTAAAGACCAGCACCCCATCTGACATGGTCACCGGCGTCATGCTGTACACAGAGATCTTAGACCTCTGCCAACGCTGAAGACAAAAGCTGCACTACTCAACTGCCCTGGCCAAGGATGGGGAAACGCTACACAAGTCATCATAATCCGCTGAGGCCGCAGGCCTCACAGCATCTGGATCGGCCACCGACCTACCCCACCCAACTCCTGGCAAACCATCCCGCCCGCTTCAGTCAAACTGGTACACTAGCCAGGCCAGCGCCCAGGCAACACATCTATGCTGCATTGCTGCTTCGAATCTGAGGTTTTCAAGCGCCCTTCACAGCCATTGTTCCAAGCCCAGCAACGGAATTGCTCCTGGCTTGGCAACCGTTTCGAACATCACTTCCAGGCGCTACCAGGCCAAGTTGCAGCGACACGCAAACGGGGGGTGAGTGAGTGAGGAACGACCTGGGGTGCACTCCGGCCTACGGAAACGTTCCCTCCCGACCTTCTCTTCCCCCATCCGGGAGATCCAGCGAAACTTCCACGCTCCGGGCCCCTCAATCTGAGGATATCTGAGGAGGTGCCACCCGAACCTCCATGGGCCCGCAAGCTGAGCTTGGTTGGATTTGGGCACTTGGCAAGACAACCCACTTCTCGGAAACACAAGTTCTTCCCCCTGTGATCCCTCACAAGGGTACTACTGTAAGCTGGGGCCACCGTCTCAGAGATGGGGCATGGGGTGGTCGTACCAAGCACACACGCACACACGCACCGGCAGCGAGACTAAGGGCAAAAGCAAGCTCAGCTTATTCTCAATCATTGTCCCTGGGAACAGCGGATATTCCCAAAGGTTAGCGGAGACTCCGGCTGGCCTAGTCGCAGCCTTGCAGCATCGCCAAGTT